AGGGGGGGGGGACATAAAACATTCATTTAATCTATCTTAAGTAATGAAAATTAAACGTAATTTTTTGGAAAATAAAGGTAATTTAATATTACAATTTAAAACATTGAAGAAATATTGAATGCTTATTCCTTAAAAATAAGGTTTTAATAATTTTAGTAGTTGTAGTATTTAAATGACTTCTGTTGTGATCTGGCGCTATAGAGAAAATAAAATTAATTAAAATTAACTTGACCTTCAAGGGGGGTTGGGGGGACGGGCCGCCCCCCTAAAATAATGGCAGGGGAAACACTGGCGTCTACTGGGGCAGATCGATAGTTAGGCAAATTAAAACTAAAGAAAAACGTATGCAACTTAAGCTTCGAAATGACAGACAATGAACAAAAAAGGTAATTTGCAAGAGCTGAGTCACAGCCCATATCAAAAGCTCCCTTATCGGTTCTGTTTTCAGTACTGGAGAATAAAAGATACATTCTTAGACGTTTTTGTTAGTACGTGAATGTTATCTATCTTATACATTTTATCTCCCCAACAGATTATTTTGAAATAAGTTTATAATGCATGTTGGCTATTCCCAATTCAGAAGAGCGCACACACAGCCTGTGTCTGTGAATGCTTCTCATACTCTGTCCTCTCTGCCCCACGTGGCGCAAATCCCGCGTCACGGACGAGCCGTTCATGCTTGCCGCACTCATGCAGCCTGTCTCGTAATGCTCTTTTATACTCGCACCCGGCGCCGCACCGCAAGTCTCCTCGAGCGCATCTGGCAGTATGGATGAGGCTTGACGCACGCCCGTAACCTGTGTCGACTCGTGCCTGGTTCCGCTTTTAAAACGAATGTAAATTCAGGCTAACTGCTTGCTAATTTCACTTGGATGAAATGAAACATTCAGCACATTTCCCACTTGTTCTTAAAATCCCAAATACTTAAAATGAATAAATCAGCCTATGTAATACTTTAATAATTGACTTAGAAAATATTTGTTCATTTTTTATAAAGAACTGTATTTCTTGTGAAATTCAGTAATTAAGTTACTTCTGTAAAAGTAGTTATACCATTATAATCTTGCCTGCTGAAAAAAACAAAACAATAGAACCCCTCCCAAAACACAATAAAAAATATAATGGATTTCAGAGTTATAATGGAATTGTATTGGTTTTAATGTAAACTATAATGGTGTCTATTTGATGGATTCTATTGGTGGGATGTAATCTGGCAGATGACAACCAATAGAACAACAGTAATCCCTACTGGAATAATGTCCAAAACAAAAAGGAATTTTGTAATGGTTTAATGGAAACTATAAGAATTTCTGTGATAGTTTCTATTGTTTTTTTTCAGCAGGGTAATGATACCCATACTGTGCTGCACATTATTGACAATATAGAGCTGAAGCTTGACTTTGCAAATTTAAAATCGCAATCTGTCTAAAAAAAAAATCACAATCTGATATTTTACCCCAAATCGCACAGCCCTAGCCCAGAGTAGGCTTTGGTAATGGAACGGAAGTAGACACTCTCTGAAAACGGAGGCCATCGAGGTGGTCCCTCCTTGCGTAGCAGAGTCCGGGTCTACAGCCGGTACTTCACCATTCTGAGGAAGGATGAAGGGTTGCGTCCTATTTTAGATCTGCGTCTTTTGAACCGCTCAGTCAGGGGACTGAAGTGCAGCACGCTCTCACTCAAACAGGTCGTGACCAAGTCTGAGGACTGGTGTGTCACGATCGATCTAAAAGATGCACATATCTCCATCCTTCCTCATCATAGGAAGTTCCTGAGGTTTGCTTTTGGGGGCAAAAGCCTGCCAATACTGGTTCTTCCTTTTGGCCTTGCACTCTCACCCCACACTTTCACGACTCAACCACATCAACGATTGTTTGATATTAGCTCAATCCGAGCAGATGGCGGTTCGACATCGAGATGTCGTTCTCGCTCACACGAAAGAGCTGGGGTTAAGACTTAATGCCAAGAAAAGTGTGCTTTCTCCAGTACAGAGAACC